TACTAATACTAGTACTAGTACTCGTAATAATAGTTGTTCGTAAACAGAACTAACATATTCTACTCGCATTTTTTCTAGAATCAACACAAGAAATGATTTAACACATGATTATTCTGCATTCTGCACTGAAGTTGTCAAGCTGCACCTTCCCAGCCACGCCGCGAAACTGCTCCATGTGCTTGAGGTAGGTCGGAAACACCGTGCCGCCACTGCAGTCCAAGCTCTCCGGGAGCGGAATGATGCAGCAGTACTTGGCCATCCAGGTCTCCACAAACTCTTGGCCCTTCCTGACAAAGCTATAGAACCAGAGCTGAACATTGAATAACAATCACAATATGTCTTTTTTCAAACCTGAACCCTCAAACGTAAACCGCACGTCAAATCCCAAGTGATGTCCTCTAGTGCTCCTGTCACCCCAAGCAACTGAGCCGTGAATTCTACGTCAAAGGCTAACTCCAAATAAAATAAAACTATAAATCCTAAACCCAAGGCCCTCAACCCTCAGTAACTAATTTAATACTGGCTTGAAACATCTTCTGCTCAGCAACCCAAGCCACAGCTGCCGCTCGCGGACATACTTGAGATCGCGGGCCTGCTGCGCAGCCGCTGTTTCTTTCGTTGGTGCCCTGCTTTGCAAGGTCGCCATGTCTGCAAGGATTGCAGCTGACAGCTGCGTGTAGGTGGCGGCTCGCACGGTTTCGGCCAAACGCGCTGCCTCTTCATCCTTCTCACTCTGTTGTGCCTTCTGTATCTGAGAGGCAAAGGGCCTTACCAATGAAGGGAAGCAGGCTAGGAGTTTGCCAATAACAATTCAAAGCACACAGCCCCGAGGATACATCCGGCCTGAAACCAGACACTGCAGCCAGCTCTCCCGGTGGGACTTCCGTTTCGAGAATGTGCACGATGTCACCGTCCATAAATCCGTACATGAACTGCTGCTTCAGCTGGGTGGCCATGGTGTCGTAGTCCTTCGCTGGGGCCTCCATCTCCAAAAGACGCAGCCAATGCAGGAAGCCTCCGCAGCAAGCATGCCGCAGCTGTGTCTCCTTCGTAGAGAGTGCCTGCCACGGGGGGTGCGATGCGCTGTGAGCTCCAATCAAGCCTGTGTAAAAACAGAATCTAAACATAGACGATGCCTGTACCTGTTGCTTTCTGAATCTGAAGCATAACACAATGATTGCACATGGCCTTTCTCATGGTCGGCGGGGTGTTGTCATAATCAAAGTTCATTCGTTGCACCAAGAGCAATGCCTCGAGAGCACGGCTCACTTCAACCCGAATCCAACATGACATGACATCACACTGCAGTGGCTGCAGGCAGAGTCTCGATCTGCGGGTTCCCGGGCACATTGCAAAGGATGTCGCGCCAACTCTCGAGCTGGCCTGTCCCCGAGCTCCACCCTTCTGCGAAAATTTCCTTCGCTAGTGTCTCGTGCAACACCAGCTTGGGCATTCCACGCTGTCTGACAGCGCTTGTCAGAGCAGCCCGCACATCCCTATGCATGTGCTGCACCAGCTGTGCCACCGCAGCTGATTCGCTCTTGCCGATGGAAAAGGCCTTCGCGATGGCGCTGGCAGAGCCCCAGTCCTCTCGTAATGAGAACTGAGCTGCATTCTCATGATAAGCAAAGTGCGGGGTCCTCGAAGTGCCGGTCCACTTGCATGGGTCCTCCTGCCCTCTGAAGAATCTCAAACTGCCTCAAAAAGTTGAAGCAGTTGGGGGGTCGCCGCGTCGCCGCCTGCACCAAAGACACACCTGACAAGTCAGGTGAGACTTGTAAGCAGCGAAAGATTCAGCGACCAGTGCAAAGCAATCCTCCGCGTGACGTTAACAGCAACATCTGATACGACTCCCTCATGAATTCTAAGAATTGTTTCACTGACTCCATGATTCCGCACACCGCCAGCCTCTTGATGCCATGACTTTGGATCGCAGATCCCGAAATGCTCCGAAAGATCCATAAATGGTTCCAAAGGATGCCTCGTCACAGGAAATGAAACTCTCTAAAAATCAAAGCTCTTGCAGAATGCCCTTGATGCAAGCATGCCACAAGAATGTCATGGCCAATCATCTCAGGCTGGATCTCCAACTCCCGGATTCCAGCCAAAGTCACGAGGAGCATGAGGCTTCGGCGCCACCCCTTGATGTATCCGACCGAGAACGGAGGTAGCAGGCCATCTGGCGGGAATGCGGGCACATAGTATAATCTTTGCACGGCTGCAACAAGGCAGACCTCACCCGTGATTTCATCGAAAGAGCCAAGACACTGCCCTCCAACAAGGGCGGCAGCTCCACTGACTCAGCATCAAGATACTCGCTCGGCACTTTTGTGCATGATATTTTTTCCACGCCTGGCAAATCCGGGTTCGTGAGGAACCTGAGCTGTTGTCAATTATAGGGCTTGTAAGGTTGGGGTTTGTTACTTAAGTCAGACAGAGAATCTTTATTCCAGGGGGCTATGAATGCAGTGTACTTAACCCCTGAACCTTAAACCTCTAAACCCCTGAACCCCCAATTGCCACAAAACGATAAACCCTGTCCTTTGACAAAATTATCTAAATTTTCTGAGACTTCCCATTGATGCTTCAAGTACTACATGATAGTACGACTGCAAGCGTTAATGAGCGCTAATGACAAGCACCAGGGGACCCTTCGGTGACATAGAGCTCCAAGAGCATATGGCCAATATCGGGATCTATCATGCCCGACACCCCAGCATCGGACCGCCAGGCCATCATCCAGGGTCTCAAAAGAGCCGGCCCAGCCTCCATGCTGCATGCATACGTCTTCCTTAGGCGCGAGCGAGCCAAGCTTGTTGGGCATTGACGCACACTAAGTGACTCCTGGCATTGATGCTGATGCTGGGAGCTGCACGAGCCCGCAGCCGGGCAGTAATCATTGATCCAGGCAGCAAACTCCATCTGGGCATCCTGATTCTGTCTGCAGACACCATCAGACACTACCAGTTACAAAGAACATCACCAAAGCCTTTATAAAGCTATCCTCTGTCCTTGCTCGGAAACTTCTTGCTGAGGAACAGGTCTGGGGAGCCACTCGGGATCACAGTTTTCCAGTACCTGAGTCTGAAATGAGCAGCAGGTTTCAAAGCAACAACTGCCTAACATGTGGGAGGCACCAGTCGGTGAGCTGCGCGGCGTGCGGGCAGGCAAGCAGCTTGCTGCTGTCCACAGCCGACGAGGAAAGAGACTTCTTGGGAGTCTTCCCGGAACCGGCACCAGCCCCCCCCCCCGCTCTTCCCTTTGGTGGGCCCCATCGTGGTCGGGGCCGGGGCAACCACGAAAACGTCAGCGTCTAACCCGCTGAATCTGAGAGGCGTCACAGCTGCCATGGTCAAAGGGAACAACAAGTTCAAGCCGTCCTAATTGGCATTGGATGGACCTATACTCATGTCACGCAACTTCACGCAATAATCTGTCGCAATTTTGGACACCACAGGTGAAGCCTTCTTGAGAGAAGCTGTCTGCCGGTCACAAAGCTAAAGGACCACAGTGACAGGTGTCTGGAATTCACCATCATGATCATAACGCTCTAGGTTGCAGGTTCTGAGCAGCACTACCGTGAATTCGTGGCCTGCACACTGGCCCATCTTCGGCATGCCCAGTACTGGCACGTGAGATTGGAAATCCAAGACGTCGCCTTTCAAGATGAGCCACGCAGCCTGGCAGGAGCGTTGTTTCACTCGTCGTCTGACCCTAGGAACGACAACTGACATGGAATGGACCCGGGCTCTGGCAAATCGTTGTAACCGAGCACCAAATGCACGACGACTGAAGGCTATGAGATAGCTAGGCCCTGCCGTGGGTCTCCTGCTTCAGACTCAAAGGCTCGAAGATTAAAAAAAGCCCGAGGAAAACCCCGATGTGAGTATCAGCCTCACGTTGTGATGAGTACATCAACACGCAGAATCTCAGAGTTCTGTTGCCCAGGCTGCTGTGCCGCCATCAGCTAAAACCCAAGCATGCGTGCGCCCATGTGGAACCCGTTCCTGTTGCTTCGGCACTTGTTGAAAGAAAAGTGTTGAATCCCACCCAGGACTCAATAATAATCTTCAGAGCCAGTGTGCTGCTGACATCTCACAAAGTGTCCAAGCCGAGGTGTGGTTCAACACAATAAAAGGACCCCACCCAGGACTCAACACTTTTAGCTGGCATCTCAAAAGTGCTGAATCCTAGGTGGGATTCAACACTT